TTTATTAGATAGAAGATGTGATAATATGTTCCAGTTAATGAGTTTGTAGCATGATATTACATAATATAGTATTGATTCAGTTTGGTTTAATCTAGTGCAGATGCATTATTCTAGCCTTAGGAGTTCTGCTTGCTTAACTTTCTTAGGACAAAGAATGTGACTGACTTATGCAAAAATTGAGCAATGAGTAATGGCTTCGCTGTAGTTTTTCCTAATTTGCTATTTAAAATTTGACTCATTGACTGCTTATTAACTAGTCTAAGTATTTTAAATATTTGCAAGTAATTAGTCTATTGTGTGAATGACTTGAGTAGTTATTAAAGTGGAATGTCAACTTTTTTTTATTGGAAACATTCCTATTTTTGTTGAGTTCTCCTTCCTTTGTAGATGAAAAATTATAGTTTATGGCCTTTGTTTAGTTGGTTCTTTGATTTGATCCTACACAACTAAGCCAAAGGCATGAGCTTGAGGTGCTATTAAAGAGAGGACCTGCAAGAATTGGTTAGATCTAAGGCCACTGTTAAACAAGGACTCTTTTCTAAGGTCACAGACTGTGACCCCCAAACCTCATCATGATGACAGTGTATGAACTATTTCAAGAGGACCAGACTAATGTGTTCACATCCTTTCCTACTATTGAAAACATGAGAACACCGGAGCAAGGGAATATCCCCGGAAGTTTGTCCTTCCACGGTGCCAGGTTCATTAGGAGAATAAACCCCGTTATACCCTATTACCTCAGTCTTGCCATAGGATTTGATATAACTGTCATGGCTGTCTGTGACTCCATGGTGGATTGACAAAGATGTCCAAAAAGTCCACTCTGCTCTGTACATCTTTAGCACCTAGCCTTTCACAGGGTAGCACATGCCACAAACATCCTCCTCTCTCCTCATGCTGTGGTGGAAATATCCATAGATGAGTCAGATGACCAGAGTTGAAGTCCTGGGATTTGGGAATTTAAAAAAACACACACACACACCACCAGGTCCAGTTGTAGTACCAAAATAGTTTTGTGACTTGAGCAGTTTTATATATCTTCTCTGGATTTGTTTAGTATTTTTAACAGCCTTATTAAGATATAATTTACGTATCATATAATTCACTTATGTAAACTATATTGTTCATTGGCTTTCAGTTTATTCACAAAGTTATCCATCCATCACCGCAGTTGATTTTAGAACACTTTCATTGCCCTCCAAAGAAACCCCACACCTTGCTGTCACTTCCCAGTCCCCTCATTCCCTCTAGTCCTAGGCATCCACTAATCTGTTTATAAATTTGTCTAATCTGGACATTTCACATTAATAGAATCATACAATGTGTAGTCTTTTGTGACTCACTTCTTTCACTTAGCATAATATTTTCAAAGTTCCTCAGTATTTAGCACTTATTAGCGTTTTGTTCCTTTTTATTGCCATATAATATTCCACTGTATGGATATATCACATTTGATTTATTCATTCATCAGTTGATAGACATTTAACCTTTTTCCACTTTTTGGCTACTATGAATAATGCTGCTATGAAACTTCATGTACAAGTTTTTGTGTGGGCCTGTTTTCATTTCTCTTGGGTATATACATTAGAGTGAAATTGCTAGGTCACATGGTAACCCTATGCTTAACTGTTTGAGGAATTCCTGTGTATATTATTTGTTTTGTTTCCATTTTCTTTAAATGGAGTTGTTTTAATTTCATTTTTTATTTGCTCATCACTATGTAGAAATACAATTTTTATATATTCATCTTATCTCTTGCAACATTGCTGAATTCATTTATTGATTCAGTTAGTTTTTAGTAGGATTGTGTCATCTGAAAATAGAGATAGTCTACCTCTTTCTTTTCAGTCTGGATGCTTTTTATTTTATTTTCTTGCATAGTTGCCCTGGCTAAAACCTCCAGTACAATGTTGAATAAAAGTAGGAGCTTAGTCATCCTATATAATAAAAAGGTAATATGCTAATCCACTGAGCGGCAAAATGACCATTCGCTATGATATGCACTGACCATCAGGGGGCAGTTGCTCAACACAGGAGCTGCCCCATGTCAGTGTGTGCATTCCCACCGGAGGAGCGCCACTTAGCCACAAGCCAAGCTGACAGCTGGCGAATACAGTGGCCCAACTCCATCTAAGTGCTAGGACTGTCTGACTACAGGCCTAAGCCGTCAATCAGACATCCCCCAAGGGCTCCCGGACTGTGAAAGGGCACAGGCCAGGCTGGGGGACACCTTCTCCCCCACCTCTTCCCAGTGCACAAATGTCGTGCACCAGGCCTCTAGTTTTAAAATAAAGTCCTAGATCCAAAAATCACTTATAAAGATTAATGGTAGGTAATGTTGTCAAGGCCTACAATCTATAAGCAATGAATCTGAGATGCTGATACAGATGTGTATGCTCATAATTTCTATTTTTCCTGGAAAGCATTAGTTAAACATCATTTTTACTAAACTGTTGTCTCCTAACATGTTTTTCAGTGAAAATTTAGATTGATTGAAGAAATCTTTAAAATCAATCTTTCTCTCCAATTCAATGAACAATATGCTTACATACTCTGGATACAGATAAAACATGGTCCTTGCATTATAGATGAATGTAAACACTAGTCAGTGTCCCGATGTTTCTCATGCCTCCCTCTAAAGTGTCTTTACTCTTCTTAGCCAATAAAAATAAAATAGAGGCCGAGACCGGTTTGGCTCAATGGATAGAGCGTCGGCTTGGGGACCAAAGGGACCCAGGTTCGATTCCGGTTAAGGGCATGTACCTTGGTTGCGGGCATATCCCCAGTAAGGGGTGTGCAAGAGGCAGCTGATCGATGACTCTCTCTCATCGATGTTTCTAGCTCTCTAGCTCTCTCCCTTCCTCTCTGTACAAAATCAATAAAATATATTTTTAAAATAAATAAATAAAATAAAATAGAGGAACTTTGGTGCTAGAAGAGGCTATCTTCCCTCCTTTCACAAATGAAGAAATAGTTCAGTAGAGGTCAAATCCTGGGCAAGGTCATAAGTGCTATGCATATATACTGGTATAATAGGCCCTCAGTTACTGGCTGTTGCTATGCATATATACTGGTATAGTAGGCCCTCAGTTACTGGCTGCTGAGTGAGTTAGGCCTAGGGACCTTCAGAGCTTCCCTCGATTGGGGAGAGAACTTCTGAGTTCTAAAGCCTCATTGGTCACCTGGCTCTAAACCTCATGCTGGTGAATTCTCGGCTGTCTCCAGGCAGCTGTTGTGCATCCAGCTGACAGATCTGATGGAACTAGAGGGCTCTCAGAGTCCTCCCACTAAGCAGCTGGCTCTCTGGTCTGAACTGATTTGTTCCTCGCAACTTTAGTTTGGAATAGTAATTTTTTGTAGGGTTATATGCAGTTTGGGGATAGGGACTTGGCAGGGCAAAGTAATGTTTTAGTAGTCTACCCTTTAAATCTTCTACCTAGAAGAGAATTCCTAATAGGGACAAAGAGACACTGCTATACTTTTTCATGTTCTCCTAAATCCATTTCTACTATCCCACATCCTTCCTTGGTAATGCCAAAGGAAGGGTGTGTGTTTCTTTGTTAACTTGACAGAGGGAATGGCAGCCCAGAAAATTCACTTGCCTAAAGTTAATAGGGTTTAGTATATTGAGGGGGACTGGCAGAAGAGGAGATGGGCATGGTGTACTGTCCTTGGTTTCATAGCTGTTTGAGTATGTACAGTTTGTGTATTAGAGTCCTTAGGTAGCTCTTCAGGGCCTAGAATGAAACGCTAATAAAGAACTACCCTAGCTCTAACCCGTTTGGCTCAGTGGATAGAGCATCAGGTTGAGAACTGAAGGGTCCCAAGTTCAATTCCAGTCAAGGGCATGTATCTTGGCTGCGGGCACATTCCCAATAGGGAGTGTGCAGGAGACAGCTGATCAATGTTTCTCATTGATGTTTCTAACTCTCTATCCCTCTTCCTTCCTCTATGTAAAAAAATCAATAATATATATATACACACATACTTTTTTTTTTTTTTTTTAAACTACCCTAGTAGTTGAGATCCAGTGCTATGGTTCTGTGACTTTTTTGGCTGGTGCTATTGTTACAATTATTGATTAATTAAAATAACAAAGTACATTGAGAACTAACTGATTGTAACTTTTTTTCTGCCATCATCACCTCCCAAGTAAAGACAACCCTTCACACTCTTCCTCGGAACTTGCTCCACCTCGGTACTTTGCTATTAATATAGAACAGAAGTATTTGGTTAAAATGTAGAAGTCTATGTAACGAAAGTATGTTTTTAAAATAGAAAATTTGAATAGTTTCAGTTTTCTTTTAATTTGCTTAATTCTGTCTCTTTTCTCCTTTCTTCTCTTTGCCCATTTTGAACTCAGAAAAACTTGAAGGCATTCCTTGGTACAATAGTAACAGATGCCTGGGTTTGAATCAGGCTCTGCTACTTATTGTCTGTGTGATCGTCAGTTGTTTGCTTGACCTCTCTGTGCCAAAACTTGTTACCTCATAGGATTGCAGCAATAGTTAAATGAGTTACTACATATAAACTGTTAAGAGTAAGTACTTGGCATGTAGAATGTACATCATACATGCTAGCGTTTTTGTTTAAAGTAGTCATAATAATAAAAATACTATCACTACCACCGCTACTGCTGTAGTCTTAATCCAACTCCAATTCTTCTGGTCAAAGTTGAAGTACTTGTAATTTAGCTTATTTAAAAACTAATTGAAGGTAATTTGTCCATCACACATACCTTCCTCTCCTATCAGTTGGGATGATAAGGGACAGTTGGAGAATGAGGCCAGACAAGGCATGACTAATAATCCTTTTCTGATTCTTCTCATTGGGCTTTCCAGGGAGCTAGAAAGTGTTTCCCTTGATTGGATTTAGCACGAGCATCCCAGCTCACTCAGTGTTGGAAAACCAACCACTTTCTAAACTGTTGAACTAGATTTAAACACAACCACCTCCAGGGTTGTCTTTAATGCCTTGTTCCTTCCTCTCTCAACCTGCAGGTATCTCAGATGAAGACATTATCAACATTACTCTTCCCACTGGCGTCCCCATTCTCCTGGAACTGGATGAGAACCTGCATGCTGTTGGGCCTCACCAGTTCCTGGGAGACCAAGAGGCTATCCAAGCAGCCATTAAGAAAGTAGATGATCAAGGAAAAGTGAAAAAAGCTGCAAAATAAAGTGTTCCCAAGTGTTGGCTAGGAATGGCTACAAAAAGGAGTGGCATGCAGTGTGTTATAGGTGCTGATCTCTCCCTCTCCTCTCTCTCTTCCTGATTTTTTCCAGAGCTAGGCTGTGGGATGAAGTTTGTATCGGTAACTAGGTTACTTATGTTGGCCCAGATAAAGACTTTAGGGTGCCTGAGTGCTTATGTCATGGGTTAGCTCTTATGGGTTAGCTCTCCTGCCAGCCCTGTTTGAATTAAACTACTCAGCAGTGGGGCTTAATGTCCTAAGTTTCTTAGATGGTAGAGTGATAATGGAGGTAAAGTTTAAGGTATTTCATCATTCAACAAATCATTGTGAAGCCACCACTGACAGGTACTAATTACTGTAATAAGTAGTTCACTTTTGTATTTACTAAGACTTTCTGGGATGATAGGAGAGGGTATTAGATAATATACTAAACGTATTTATTATTAGTCTTTTCCTCTAGGAAAAGGGATGTTTTGATAGATGAGAGGCCCATTAAGTGGGAAAGCCACAGGTGGGTTCCTCCATGACAGCCAGCGATAAACAGCAAGCCCCTTTGCCCTGTCTCTAGCCCAGAGACTTCTTTGTTTGAGATTTGGTGGCATTCCTCTTCGACAGTTAAGAGTTAGCAGCACATAGACAACTGTAGCTGTTTGTGTTCTCTTATTTTTGTTTCTTGAACTTTAATCCTTGGGTACTTAAAATTCATTTAAAAAATAAAGTTCTGTGACCAAAACTCTTCTGCTCATATCTTCCTGTATCACTCAGAGTTGCACCTTTTTTCAACACATAGACACTCTAATTCTCTATAAATTGAAGGTTGGTGTCAGGAAGTGTAACACAATTGATGTAATTTTATTCATGTGAGCAAGGGAAATGATATATTGGAGTTTGTCACATACATTTATTGTTCATCTGCTGAGGGCTAAGAGTAGCCAGGGTAGGCCATGGGCAGAATTGATTGCTTATCCATCTTAATGATACCGTTTTCCATAGCATATTTTTAAATACCTTAGGTATGTATGTCATTTCTTTAAGGAACATATATTTCAATGATAAATTCATGTAAAAAGTTGTAGCTGTAATAGTTGTTACAGATATTTATCATTTTTTTATGGCTTTCCGTTGGTGAATTAACTCGTCGTATCCATGTTACAATAAAACTGGCATTAGAAGAAAACTGATTCTAAAACCATTGCCACTGCTTGGTCTCTCTTTAATCCTTAAGTCAAGACTCACAGAGCATTGGCTGATGAAGGTGGCTGAAAAAAAAGAGGAACCAGGTTTGTTCACAGCTGGCCACATCTGTGAAGGATAAGAAAGTAGAATGTGGATATTTTTCATTTCTGACCAACCACTGGCTTTTCTACTGTAATTCTTTTTAGTCAAATTGTTTAACCAAATGACACTTTAGAATTTAGAGATCAGAGTCAACCACCAACTACCAGATATCCCTACAATTATAAAATCTGTGTTTAGGCTGCAGCTCAGACCATTTTGAACAGCTTCATCTCTGGAATTGGCCTCTGAATTTTCTAGCCAAGGGGTGGCCATGTCTTAATGCAGCTCAAGATCCTATAGTTGGATTCTTGCCTTGTCTTAAATCTAGATGTTGACTTCCAGGGGCCCCACCCGCAACATGATATGCTTCTGCATACAAAGCTATACTCATGCCCAATCACTTTGGAATCTTGTATACTTCCTCAGGTAGGTAGGGATCATTTTTGGATACTTTCTGATACAATTTGGTTTTATTGTTTTTAAGATCCTGGCTGAAATAAATGAAGAGACATTTATTTCAGCCAGGATCTTAAGAGCAGTGCATGAGGGTTCCTTTTTCTCCACATCCTTGCCAGCACTTATCATTTGTTCATTTTTTGATGATAGCCCTTCTGACAGGTATGAGATGGGACCTCATTATCATTTTGATTTGCATCTCTCAGATGATTAGTGACTTTAAGCATGTTTTAATATAGCTCTTGGCCTTCTGTATGTCCTCTTTTGAAAGTGTCTAGTTAGGTCCTTTGCCCAGTTTTTGATTGGATTGTTTATCTTCCTTTTTTTAAGTTGTATGAGTTCCCTATAAATTTTGTTGATTAAACCCTTATTGGAGATAACATTGGCAAATATGTTCACCTATGCAGTGGGCTTTCTTGTTGTTTTGTTGATGGTTTCTTTTGCTGTGCAGAAGTTTTTTATTTTTATGTAGTCCCATTTGTTTGTTTTCTCCTTAGTTTCCATTGTCCTAGGAGCTGTATCAGTAAAGATATTGCTACGTCGTGTGAGATATTTTGCTGCCTATGGATTCCTCTAAGATTTTCATGGTTTCCTGTCTTATGTTTAAGGCCTTACCCATTTTGAGTTTGTTTTTGTGTATGTTGTAAGTTGGTGGTCTAGTTTCATTTTTTTTCCATTTATCTGTCTTACTTTCCCAACACAATTTATTGAAGAGGCAGTTTTGACTCCATTGTATGCACTTGCCTCCTTTGTCAAATATTAATTGAGCATAATGGCTTGGGTCGATTTCTGGGTTCTCTGTTCTGTTCCATTGGTCTATATGTCTGTTCTTGTGCCAGTACCTGGCAGTGTTGAGTACAGTGGCTTTATAATATAGATTGATATCTGTCAACTAGATTCTTTTGCAGATTATTTCTCACCTTGGATTATGACAAATTTATGAAAGTGCAATTCCTACTCATGCACATCAATGGCAATGTTTGTCTTCTAGACATTTTAAATGTATTCTTATGCTTTAAAACTGATGTTTGTTTTCAAAGTTCAACTTTCATCTTACCTAGAAAACCTTTCATATGTTCTTTCCTCAGAAATAAACTGAAATGGTTGCAGATCTTGATCATGTTTCCCGTTTTTGTGTTTTGCATAATTGGATTTTGCAAGTTTTTGGCTCCCTTTTATAACACCATTTGTTGTATTAAATCAGGCCTTGCCTCAGCAAATCTGGCTGTGGCAGATGCCACATTATGCTGTGGCCTAAGGGTTTTCACATTGGACTATGATGGGAATTTAAGCCACTCATCCCAAGAGGAATGGGAAACACAAAATATAAGAACATTTTAATTATTCAATCTCCCTGTAATGACAAAGTTATTTGGAAAAATGACAGGCAGGATTAAAGTCACTCTTTTTCCATTCCATAGTTGGTAAAATCTTTTGTTTATTGCAGGGTAATCTAGCTATTACAGTTTAGTCTTTAAGACACTAGGACCTTAAGTTGTACGTTCCTTTGACAATATTTTAAAGATAGGCTGTCTCCTCACTCTTCCTCCTACCCTACTGGGTTATTTTAAAACAACTGCCAGACATCAAGCAGGATAGATTTTGAAAAGGAAAATGGGTTACATAATCTTTGGCAAGTGAAAATGGAAGCCTTCAGACAGCTGTTCTGAACTCTGTTCTTTTTGATACTCTCTAGGGAAACCAAATGGCAGCCCTTGCTTAATTGTCCATTTTGAGTCTTGACTTTGTGTATAGTTTGTTGTCTCTGTTTGCTGTTAGTCTATTATGTGTGACTTTGGCAGAATACTGTGGGATGATTTGGTGACCAATGTTAAATTCAACTTAAAAGATGAAAATGTTTCAGAGACTGATTTAAATAAGTAACCTTGGAATAATTTTGTAGCTTTAAAAATCAACACATTTGTTGATGTTATTGTAAATCGGGTTACTCACTATGGAAGAAAGGAGATACAAAACGAAAGAAGTTAAAGAAGAACCCTGTTTTATTGGTTTTGAACTGGAGATATTAGTATGAATGTGTGTGTAGGTATATGTATTTTCCTCTTTCTTCACAATATTACCTCTCTCTTCCCCTCTCCCAGATCTGGTTTCGTCCTCTAGTCCTAGAAGTGATAACCTATAATAAAGAGCACACCCAGTTCCCTTGGTCTTGCTTTCTAAATACTATGCCACAGAACCAGAAATGTTGGTTGATTCCAGGTTTAAGGTAAATAAAGTATAAGGTGCATTTGGAACATCTTGAGTCAGAAAAGAAGAGAATGCCCTAACTGATTTGGCTCAGTGGATAAAGTGTTGGCCTGTGGGTTGAAGGGTCCCGGGTTCCATTTCGGTCAAGGGCATTTACCTTGGTTGTGGGCACATCCCCAGTAGGGGGTGTGCAGGAGGCAGCTCATCCATGTTTCTCTCTCATCGATGTTTCTAACTCTATCCTCCCTTCTTCTCTGTAAAAAATCAATAAAAATATTTTTTAAAAAATAAAATAAAATGTAAATTTCTTCGAGAGAAAGAGAGGGGAGAGGAGAGGAGGGGAGAGTGGAGGGGAGAAGAAAAGGGAGAGGAGGGGAGGGGAGAGGGGAAGAAAGGGGGGAAGGGAGAGGAGAGGGGAAGAGAGGGGGGAAAGGAGGGGAGAGGGGAAGGGAGGGGAGAGGAGAATGCCCAAAGACTAGTGCAACACAAAAATTGGCTTTTTAAGTGTCAAATTTGGGAGAATTTGAGACTAAAGAAAAAAATTATGCTAATGGATTATAGAACATTTGTCTTAGTCTGCTCAGATAGCTATAAAAAAAATATCACAGACTAGGTGGTATTCAACATATATTTCTCACAGTTCTGGAGACTGTTAAGTTCAAGATCAAGGTGCTGGCAGACTTGGTGCCTATGAGGACTCTCTTCATGGTTTTCAGATTGACTTATTGCTGTATCCTCACAGGATGGATAAAGAGGGATTGGTCTTTCTCTTATAAGAGCACTAGTCTCATCATGAGGGATCCAACCTCATTAGCCTCATCTAAACCTAATTACCTCCCAAAGACCCCACCTCCGAATTCCAGCACATTGGGAATTTGTGCTTCAACATTCTAACCTTAGTTAGGTATTTATTGTACTATTTTTCCAGCTTTTCTGTGGGTTTGAAAGTTTTAAAAACAAAATCAAGAAAAATGACGAGAAGAAAAAAAATTGACTAAAACTAAGCACAGTCACTAAAACTTGTTTTGTGTGCAATGTCTGGA